TATGATAGTTCTTTTGAACTATGATTGTCAGACTAGACAATGGTGATAGCGGTTGAGGCTTTCCAATGAAGCTCAAAGGTCCAGCTTGACTGAATATTAAAGAGGACGGTTGTTTGTGAACTTTTGTGTATTGGGGTTCCATATATCGAAAGACTTCCTAGCAATAGGTGGCTAGGCGGCGTGTTCCATTGGATGGCGGTACGGGAAGCTGCACTAAGTGTTTGGAGAGCTAGGCTCTTGGTAACATCGTCAATGATACTTAGTTTATGCTAAATGGGAGCAATTTGTTAAAGAGAATTATGCATTGAGCAAGGTGGAGGCAGGTATTCGCTAAGGTAGAGAATCTTGTGAAGATTTCCTAAGGAGCAAGATATTCGTCTATTTTAATCAAGGTGGAGATTGTTGGGGATGCTTGAAATATGTGATTAGATTAGTCCCACATCGTCTAGTATTGGAATAGAGTAGAATAACCAATGTTATATATTGGACTCAGGTCCCTTGTTGTAATGTGCACCAGATATAAGCACCAAATAGAAACACCCCATGAGTAGTTGGGCCCACGAGTGTGATAGGGTTTGTAATCCTTATTCTCTAATAATATATTGGTAGCCGCTCAACACTCCCGGGGACGTAGGCACAATAGGCCGAACCACGTTACCAAATTTTTTGTTTCTTCTTTTCTATTTATTCTATACATTATTTGATTGTTTTGTGACCAACGCTGCGCAACGACCGCTTCCGCTGCACCAACAATATACACATGATTAACAATATATATATATATTTATTCATAATAATACATAGTAGTAATAAGAATTTATCTAAAAGGAGTATGCATTATATTGTGATCTGATCTAGGTTTGGGTTCAAAGACTGACTCAATCAACATTTTAGGTCAGGATCTTGGGTAAGGTTAAAAAAAATGATCCAACCAACATTTAGGATTGGGTAAGGGACAAACCTTACCCGATACATATTCACCACTAGCATTAGTAAAGAGTTTCGATTAGGATCAAGCTTGAATCCCTCTTTAACCACACGTATGTCTCACGGGAGAGTTTCAATTAGGATACAATTACCGAATTTAGAAAACTGCAAAACTAATTTGGGTCACCATTGTGAATACCATTTTTTATAAGCCCATAAAAGATGTCCACCATTATTTATGTTCAATTTCTTTTACTTTTATTTATTAAGATATTTCGAAATAACATAAAAAATAATAATAAATGTTTAAACATAAAATAAATTAAAAAAATATATAAGAAGGAAAGACTGATTCTTAATCAGTTGAAGATGAGGAAGTGATCCCACTTTTTTAGGAGAAAAAAGCTGGGTTGATAAAGCCAGATTTTAGGCTATTGGGGTGGTTATTCCTACTTCTATGGGATATAGGATAGCAAGTCTATTCCCATAAAAAGGCAACAAAAATACACAAAAAACACACAGCAAGCATTGAAAAGAAGAGAAAGAGCACATGTAACACCCCAAATTTTAATCTTTAAAATTATAGTATTAGTCCTGGAAGCCTCGCTTGATCGAGAGATTCTCGCCTGAGCGAGAAAGGATCACCTGGGAGGGTGAAATCCTGGACTATACTGGAGGATTCTCGCCTAGGCGAGAAATGGCAATTTTGGGCTGTTGACACAGTGTAATCGATTACACACTCCTGGTAATCGATTACATGCTGATAAACTAATCAGACCTGTGCATCTGACACAGTGTAATCGATTACACAGTCCTGGTAATCGATTACACAGTCTTGGTAATCGATTACACAGTCCTGGTAATCGATTACATGATGATTAAAAGCATCAGATATGTACATCTGACACAATGTAATCGATTACACCATGTTTGTAATCGATTACACCATGTTGGTAATCGATTACATCGCGACGATGCCTTTGTAATTTACACTGTGTAATCGATTACACATTTATGGTAATCGATTACATAGTATTAATGTAATCGATTACACCATGTTGGTAATCGATTACATAGCGACGATGCCTCTATAATTTACACAGTGTAATCGATTACACTATACTTGTAATCGATTACACTATACTTGTAATCGATTACACTTATCGCAGTGTCTATAAAATAGAAACCCAAAACACATTTTTGGGTTAGAACTTCGAAGAGAAGAGAGAAAGGAGAGCTTTTCAAGAGCAAGGAGCCTTAGGACTCATCTTGGAGCTTGAGAAGAGGTAAACCTCTTGTTACTAACTCTTCTTCCTCTCTAACTTGTTTTGGGTATGTTGGATTTATTTTCAAAACATGAGAAACCATGAAAACTCATCATTTAGAGTTATGGTTCATTTTATGTTGTTTTTCTCTTGTAAACTTTTGATTTAGAGTTGATATTGTATGAATGGAAAAGGTTGTGGGTTACACATGAAAACCCCAAAAACCCCTAATATGAGAATATAGGTATAAAGAGAAAGAGATGAAATGTTAGATGTGGATGATGCGTTTGTGCTTGAATGTTGATATATGAGATAAACTTGAATGTTTAGATGTTTGAAAACTTATATTGAAGTAGTTTTGGAAATCTTGAATATATATGAATCCCTTGTGTATTTGATGATGAAATACGAGTTATTTATTTGTTATTTTGAATAAATGACTGACATTGTTGTTATTGGTGAAAATGAGGAAAGATCCTAAGGTTGGAGGAAATCGCGGAGGAGACTTTTAAAGTTACTCGGAACCGATCCCCAACGCTCACCAAGGTAAGGGATAAGTGGCTCTAATTCATACTCACTGATGTGAATGAGGTATGTGAAAGAGGTAATGTGTTGTAAGTTTGATTGTTGTTACCCTACCCGAATAGGTAGTGGTTTATTGTTGTTACCCTACTCGAAGAGGTAGTGGTTGACTGTTAATGTGTCCTACCCGGAGTGGTAGTGAACTGTTTGTTGTGTCCTACCCGGAGTGGTAGTAGACTGTTATTGTGTCCTACCTTAAATGGTAGCGAACTGTTATCGTGTCCTAGGTAGTGGACTGTTGTTGTGTCCTACCCGGAGTGGTAGTGGACTGTTATCGTTATCCTACCGGGAATGGTAGTGAAGAATTGTGAACTAGACCTACCCGATGTGGTATGGATTATAACTGGACCTATCCGATGTGGTATGGAGTATAACACTAGACCTACCCGACGTGGTATGGAGCATAATACTAGACCTACCCGATGTGGTATGGAATATAATACTAGACCTACCTGATGTGGTATGGAGTATAACTAGACCTGCCCGATGTGGTATGGAGTATAACTAGACCTGCCCGATGTGGTATGGAGTATAACTAGACCTACCCGATGTGGTATGGAATATAACAGTAGACCTGCCCGATGTGGTATGGATGATGAACTAGACCTGCCCGATGTGGTATGGATGATGAACTAGACCTGCCCGATGTGGTATGGATGATGAACTAGACCTGCCCGATGTGGTATGGATGATGAACTAGACCTGCCCGATGTGGTATGGATGATGAACTAGACCTGCCCGATATGGTATGGATGATGAACTAGACCTGCCCGATGTGGTATGGATGATGAACTAGACCTGCCCGATGTGGTATAGATGATGAACTAGACCTGCCCGATGTGGTATGGATGGTGAACTAGACCTACCCGATGTGGTATGGAGATGTAATTGTGTGAACACTCAATTTTGTCCGGCCTTTAAAAAAATACAAAAAAATTCAAAGCAACAAAAAGTCACAAAAATTGGGTCATTTTTTGTACCGCATTTATCTTCGAATATTAATAAATAGTTCAATATCATGTCTTCTTCAAAACCATAACAAAACAAGTCCTATGTTGTTACATATGCAATAAAACTATTTTTTTTAATATCATTGACCTCGTTCAGTCAATCCAATTCTTTGACACCAATGGTCATAAAATGGAGCATATACAAAAAGTCCTAGTGCTAGATGAGCAGCAAGCCAAATATAATTTTAGACACTGAAAGGAGACCTAAGCCTACGGGCAGCAACAAGTCCGCTAGTGCAATCTCCACTTTCATGCACCATCTTCATAGTTGGAAAATCAACCTACACCATAGTGATGAGCTTTGTAAGGAGGGACTGGACTTGTTATAAGGTTGTTGGACGTAACAGGATGCATGGAGAGGCTAGTGATAATCTCAATCTGCAATGGCACACATACAAACGATAAGTTAGCAGCTTGTTCAGAGCAAATCTCCCAAAAGCATTGATATTCAAGGGAAAAAGGCAAGCAAACAGCACTTACCCACTGTCATGGTAGAAAGGGTGGAGAACTCATGTTGGTTGAAGAATAATCTGGACTCAAGCGTATGGTAAGAGAGGATAGTTTAAGAGACATCACCAAAGGAAGCCATAAAATGCCAAGTTCACACTGTTTAATTCAGCAAAGCAGTAAAGTGACATAATAGAATGATCAAGATGAGTAAGATAGCAAAACAAATATGCATCTAGCCAATAGTCATGGTGTGGATCAATATTGAAAAGCAAAAAGAAAGAGATAGAGGGAGAGTGATTCAATCGTGAGTTGCAAAAAGAAGCAAGTCAAACGGCATATCCTTTAAGTTACACATTAGTGGAGCAATCAAAATGATCAACGATGCCAAAGATTTCAAAACAGACAACTAGAATGCACTAACAAAGCAAATATGGAGTTAATACAAAGGAAAATAAACAACCATGAGGAAAAGGTCAGAAGACAACAAGTAATCATATCAAAAATGACAATGTCAGTCCAGTTAAAGATGCAATGTTTACCTAGAAATAAGGAAAATTACCCATGAATCAGAATGATTGCACATGAAAACTTATTAAGGAGATATAAAATCATGGTTGTTGGCATTTCAGTTACACTTTATTAAAGAGCAAAAGTGGGCAGTTAAAAGGAGAATAATCAGAAAATACCAAAAGTCTGACTCAGTTACAAATAGTTAAGCATTGATAATACTCATAAAGAAGGTAATGTGTAGTAATCAAGGGCAGTCCAGAGGGTTATCAATTGGCAACCCAAGAGGTTAGTCAGAGGCAATATAAAAGGAGAGACAATTCAAGAAGAAAAGGGAGAGAGATGATATACTTCACAGACACTCCCACCTAACACACATGTCAGAACAGCTGCTATACATCATACCCAGATCATATAACAAGTCAAAAAGCAATATATCATTCATCTACCTATCACACATATCTCATCGGAATACATATATATGCATCTACAACACAGCATATACTCACAATTCCATCATATCACAAAACACCACAACAAATCATCAATACGCCTCACACTGAAGCAGGCAGGAATGATACTACACACCACCATACAATCCCATTAGAACACACACACAAAAAGCATAAACCTTCCTCGCAGACTACATACATCAAGCAGAGAGCATCATGACACATATCCCACATACTATGCAAGTCACCACAACAAAAAACATAACATACGCGTAAACCACATACCATAGCAATCAGAGATCAGCTATTCTACACACACAAGCAGTCAATACAACTTGATTTAACAAACCCATTCATCACAACAAGCAGAGGAATCCAAATCCAGTAATCCTAGCGTCTTCGAAAGCAAGGTAAAGGTCAAGCACCGAAGGTAACACATCCGTAGTTTGTTAATAATAAAAGATGTTCTGCATGAAACCTGTGTTGTAATAATGTAATGAAAACTTACATTCCTAGGAGATATATGTGTTACCTTAAATACGCTATGTTATGGTGAATTACATGATCATTGTCGTAATATTATATGGTGAATCAAATCTTATGAAACTCAGTTGCATGTTCAAGCCCACCTAACCACACGCATAGAATCAAGATACGAAGCATAATCGCACAAAATTTGATAAGCCAAAAACAAACAATATAGGGATTAATACATAAACAGAAAGGGTTAGAGTTGGTTACCGAATCCATTCATACATCGAGTGTCAAAACTACGAACTGCTTAACCTTCAAATCGAGGCAGAAGAGAATTGTGAGCCGTCACTGCCGGCGTCCTCGCCGTAGGAAAGTCGCTGCTGTTACCGGAGGCCGAAGAAACAAAAGATTGGGGGGTTAGGGATTTGAAACCCCTTTCCAAGGAATGAAATGAAGAAGGAATGATGACGTGGTCAAAGCAGGGTGGCCATCGGTGATGAAACGGAGGAAGGAGAAGCCGGAGAAGACGAGGCGCGATTCTCTCCCGTGTTCTCACTTTCTCTTCTCTTCTCACTTCTATCTTCTCAACCTCCTCAAAACCTTAAGGTCTAGAATGAAAAAAACCACTACTAACCCCTATCCCTCTCTCCACCAGATCTTGGCTTTGGGCCCTTGGCCCACATATATTTTGTTTATTTATTTATATTTCTACTCATTGATTTATTTATCGTTCCTTGGTAGTTAATCTCATAATTGTAAAGAATAATCTTATTTAACTAGAAATGTTCTATTGAGTTTATATAAGTGTACGCCTATCAATTAATTAGACAAGTCAATTTATAACATAATCATATTTTTAAACTATTTCAAATCTCTTTAAGATATGATGTGGCGCGGACATTAGTCTTGCTACTTCATATATCTTAAAGATGAGTAAATTTCAACGATATATTATAAAACTATTTCAAAATCTCTTTAAGATTTGATGCGGTGCGGACATTAGTTCTTGCTACTTCATCTATCTTAAAAATGAATAAATTTCAACGATATATTCTAAAACTATTTCAAAATCTCTTTAAGATTTGATGCGGTGCGAGCATTAGTTCTTTCTGCTTCATCTATCTTAAAAATGAATAAATTTCAACAATATATTTTTAAACTATTTCAAATATCTTTAAGATATGATGTGGCGCGGGCATTAGTCTTGCTACTTCATCTATCTTAAAGGTGAATAATTTCAATAATATATTTTAAAACTATTTCCAAATCTCTTTAAGATATGATGCGGCGTGGGCATTAGTCTTGCTACTTCATCTATCTTAAAGGTGAATAATTTTAATAATATATTTTTAAACTATTTCAAATCTCTTTAAGATATGGTGCGGCGCGGGCATTAGTCTTGCTACTTCATCTATCTTGAAGGTGAATAATTTCAATAATATATTTTTAAACTATTTCAAATCTCTTTAAGATATGATGCGGTGCGGGCATTAGTCTTGCTATTTCATTTATCTTAAAGGTGAATAATTTTAAAACTATTTCAAATCTCTTTAAGATATGATGCGGCGCGGGCATTAGTCTTGCTACTTCATCTATCTTAAAGGTGAATAAATTTCAATAATATATTTTAAACCACTTCAAAATATTCCTTGAGATTTGATGCGGCGCGGGCATTAGTCTTGCTACTTCATCTATCTTAAAAATAAATAAATTTCAAACAATGCATTTCAATTATTTCAAAAATAATATATATCTTAAAGATAAATAAATTTCAACACAGTAGTTTAATTACTTTCAAAATCTCTTTAAGATTTGATATGGTGTGGACATTAGTTTCTGCTGCTTCATCTTTTCTTAAAGAGAATACAATTTACATCAACTTTTTAAACAAACTAAACCAACACCAATTAATTTTCAAACCAGAACTACGTAGCCTTGATTTCCCTATTGCACCTAAGGATACGTAGGAGCAAGATGAGCTCTTGTCAGACATAACAATAAAAAATAAAACATTTTGCTTTTATAATTGAATTTTTAGCAAATTTACTTAAGGGTATGAAAGTCCATGTAATTAGCGAGGGTACCGTTTTAATACGGGCGGACGGGGTGCTAATACATTCCCCAATTCGTAATCGACTCCCGAGCTCAGAACCTCTAATTAAAGACCATTTTATCCTAATTGGACATATTTAGAGTTTTCTACGTTTTATCCGCAAAAAACGTAGTGGCGACTCCAAACAATTGGAAGAGGTAGAAATCGATTTCGCCTCTCCCCAAGTCGTGGGGCCGGTCTTCCAACCGAAAATCGGGTCGCGACAAATTGGATCTACCCAAGGTGGTAGGAGATTATAGTTGTGAAAGAACTCGGTGAATACGATTAAGGATGAATACGACATATGAGAAACGAGGACGTTAAGAGCGAAAGTAATATGCATGCTATAGGATATATATTGTGGGATATATATACTATAGGGTGAATATGAATGTTGGAAATGAAGACGTTAAGGATAAAAGTAATATACATGCTATAAGATATATAGTATGGGATATATATATACTATAGTGTGGATATGAATAATGAGAAAAACGATGCTTCGAATGAACATAATATGCATGCTATAGAATATATATTATGGGATATGTATTCTATAGGATGAATATGGATAACGTAGAAATGAACGAAAGAAGAGATGAATGTTGCATTTACGTAATTGCGTTTATAATTTATATTAAAGTTTAATCGTATTTGAAATGTGGATTATCATGTGATGTTAGTTTTTAAACTAATGACTTACTCCCTTTTTGTTTTGTGTGTTGTTTATGATAATCCCATTGTAGGTAAATGAAGGATTTTGAGGATGAAGCTCAATTAGGAAGCTTTTGTGTTTAATTACTCGTTTGTCTGTATTGCTAAGTGACGTTGTAGTTGATTTAATAGTATTATGGGATGACTGTAAATCCGTTTAGATCAATACGGATATGTGTAGTTATGGGCTTTATAACCTTGAGAGACCCATAATTGGTTGTATGTGGTAAATGCTATTTGAATGAATTATGTTTTTCCGCAACATAAATTTGTATGATAAGAAAATAGGGTAAAGAGTATTTTTGAAAATGATACTTGAGAGTTTTCAATGAAGGTGACGACTGTATGTAAGAAATGATTAAAATAAACGAAAAAATTTCAAGGGTAAAAAATCGGGTCGTTACAGCACACAAAAACTCTATTCTTTTGTTTTCAATTCACTGAACACAGAACACACACAAAGCGTAGTTCTAAAAAAACTCTATTCTTTTGTTTGCAATGTTAACACTAAACCTATATTTGTCATATTGGTAGTCGCATCATTGTTTAATCATAAACATTACCAAGCAAGGATTTAAATCTATTCTAATATACAAGCAGACTCCAGTTCACAAAAATTAATCAGGAAGACACATTAGCATCCCACAAATTTGCATCACCATTAGAAAAGCTTTCTCATATTCATAATTAGAGTTCTATAAAAATAAAAAGGCACCAAACATCCAACAACCATAATAAACAACAAGAGTAGCATGATAAGTATTTTAAAAGTATACATCTTAGCACTAAGGAAAAGCCAGGAACTAGCATATAGAGAATCTCAAAACACCATGGGAATGTAGCTCCCTGGCTGATCCGAAAAAAAGCTCCGGCGGTTTCCACCGTGAATGGGTGGCCACTGCCGCCGGAGGAACCAAAGCCCTCCTCCGTCCAGAACCACCGTCGTTGCTGGCAGCACACTCTCATCTCTGTTGGAACGTCACCGACGGCTCAAAGGAGAGAAGCTCATCTTCTCCCAATTTCCTACCTTTTCTCAACCTCTGTAAATTCCTAATTCCAATTCTGAATTTCCCTCATTAGGTTAGCTTAACCTACTACACTATGTATGGGTCAGAGAGCCTAAAGGCCCATTCTTTTTTGTATATATAATAGTAATACCATGTTATCATATTATTTTGAGTTATAAGCTGATTGATTTCTTTAATAAATACAATCTTATGATACTAATCTGTTTTGTAAATTACAAGTACTCACATTTTCATGTCATGTTTTGTATATTAATTCTTACTTCGAGCCAAGAACCGGTCGCGGTCACTTGTACTGTTTCTGCTATTTATCGAAGTAAGAAAATAACCAATGTCAACTTTCATTAATAAAATTTCCCTTTAAAAATGTTTAAGTTGTTTTAATAAATAAAAAATGTTTTTGGGATTCAATAGCGAGGTTACAACTCTAATTGCATTTTTATTCTCACTTCGAGCCGAGAACCGGTCGCGGTCATTTGTACTGCTTCTGCTATTTATCGAAGTGAGAAGAGGGTAACTAGTCAATGTTGATTTTCTTAAAGAAAACCAAACCAACAAAAGATTTTCTCACTTCAATTAAACTCAAACCAAACCAACAAAAGATTTTCTTAAAGAACTACGTAGTCTTGATTTCCCTACTGCACTTAGGGATACGTAGGAGCAAGATAAACTTTTGTCAGACACAAAAATAAAAAATAAACATCTTGTTTTAATCAATTTAATTTTAATTAAATAAGGGTAAATTAAAAGCATGCCATTAGTTAGGATACCGTTTAATAACAGGCGGACGGGGTGCTAATATCTTCCTCGATCCTTAATCGACTTCCGAACTCATAA